ATCGTTTTAATTTTTTCTTGTTTTTCTTTTTTCTCATTTTTCATTTTTCTTGTTGTTCTTTTTTTCTCGTTTTTCTTTTCATAGGAATACGTGCACTGGCCCTAAGGGTCTTTACCAATTTAGAATGAATCTTCTGCAGAACGTGGAATAATACGCCACCTTATGTTTTGTTTTTCTTGTTTTTTTTTTTTCTCATTTTTCATTTTTCTTTTTGTTCTTTTTTTCTCGTTTTTCTTTTCTTAGGAATACGTGCAGTGGCCCTAAGGGCCTTTACTCACCAAATGCACAAAATACAAAACATATGGTGGCGTATTATTCCACGTTCTGCAGAAGATTCATTCTAACTTAGCACAGTAGTGCAGCCAAGCCCTAAGACTCACGTGCAGTGACTAACAGGCCCTAGCTACGTGAGCAACCCATAACTGCTGAAACACAGACCTGAAATCGAATCTTGAGTATATATCGGGCCAGCTCATGCTCTATTTCATATTCACTGCCTGCCTCGATTTTGGTGGGGGGGTCTGCGCTACATGTTTGCGCAGACCCTTCAGATAGCCTGCATGGGCTATCTGAGCTCTGTTAGGGGGATTCCCCCACCCCCTCGGAAAAAAAAAGGACCTTACACACGCACGCACACACACACGTACACACACACACACACACACACAAATTCACATACACACACTGTTCTGTTTTTCTTTTTTTTCTTTTTCCTGTTTCGCCTAGGGCTTTGGCCCACAGCCCCCCCTAAGCACCGTCGCCGCTCCCCACGCTGCCCACAGCCCCCCCAAGCACCGCTGCTGCTCCCCACACTGCCCAAAGCACCACCCCACCCCGCCCACCCCCCTTCGCAAAACCGTCAATCGCGTTCAGGGGCGTTCAGTGAACGCGCGTTCACTGCGTTCATAAACTAAACGCGGCACGCGCGTTCAATGAACGCGCGGTAATAAGTCGCCTTCAGTAAGGGCGTCGGGCCTTCCGGATAACCGCGCCTGGTGTTCTGGTCAGTCGGGCATCGAACGTGGACTCTTTTCGCCAAGGCGGGGGGCAGTGGGCACAGCAGGTGTGGCCGTGTCGAGGACGAGGACAGGTGGATTGGATCCCTGTGGATCGACGATGCCAGGCGGCACAATCGACGGACGAGGGGACGACGATGAGTGCTCCGCTGCGGAGGTCGTGGGACGAAAGGTTTGGGATGATCATCGGCAACAATCGCGTCAAGCGAGCACGTCCGACATAACGAGAGGGGTGGTGAAGATTAATGTGGGGGCGGATGATATATTCGGCGTTTGCGATGGTGCAAGGGCGAAGATTGCGCGGCAGACGACGGGGGCAATGACGAGGACGAGGACGACGACGGGGAGATGGAGATTTGTCCAGTAAGGAGGAAGCGGGGAGGGTCAAGGGCCACAAACATGTTTACAGAACCGCGCGCGGGGCGGAGAGGCAAGAAGGGTGTGGAAGATACGTCAGCAAGCGAGGGAGCAAAAAGCAGGGATTTTTGGACCGTGGAGCACATGATTGCTCTGATCCGAGCTAAAAGAGACCAGGATTTGCATCTGGCCGATCTGGGGCACAACAGCGGAAGGATGAAAACGAAGACATTGAAGTGGGACGACGTCGAGAAGAGGCTCGTGCAGATGGGGGTGACGAGTAGAAAGGCCGTGGACTGCGGGAAAAAATGAGACAACCTGTACCAGCAGTTCAAAACCGTGCACAAGTTCATGGGAGAATCGGGGAAGCCTAATTTCTCCACACTAACGTCGGGGGAGAGGAAGGAGCGGGGGTTCGACTTTCGGATGGATGAGCGTGTGTATTCGGAGATGACGGCCATGTCCAGGGGCGATCACACTATACACCCCACGAATCTCGCGGACACGGGTGCAGCTGGAGGTGTTCAAATGGTCGGCCCACGTGGAGGTCGGAATGAAACCGACGGTAGTGAGGGATGCGGGGATGGACAGGACGACGATTAGGGATCGACGAGGGATTCAACGTTCAGCTGTGGTGGTGGTGGCGGGGGCGGCAAACGGAAGAATGTAAGACAGCAGACCTTCGACACGATTGCGGATGTCATGAAGGAGCACGGGAATCTGATGGCGACGACGGTGGACAGTGCGAGCAACAGGCAGTGCTCAATTTTGACGAGGCAATGCGACATTCTCGAGCGAGAGCTAGAAGTGCAGAAGGAGCACTACGTGAAGGCCGACCAGGCGAACTTCATGATGTGCAACGCCCTTCTCGAGATTGTTAAAGCGATCCGCGAACGATCCTAACGTCGCTCAGCCACACATGTCCAACGTCCACACGAATACCGCGTGTGCACTTCCAAAGCATCACCGTTGTCGTCGTATTGCGTGCTGCAGTGCGGTGATGGGTAGGTTGTGTAGAGACGGCGGGTCGTTTTTACCCGCACAGTTTTTTTAAGCGTGGATTTGTTTGATGACTGTGAAGGGTATTTATTGTTGTCATGCCCTGCGGCGCATCCTTCGGTTGTACAGTAGGTCCTCCGATTTTGTATTTTGTTTAACGACTGGTGTTGTGAGGCGTTGCCGCCACGCATGGATGGCGATCTACCAGGGTCTTCTTTGGGGGTGACGGAGAAGGAATAGGTGGCAGGGTGTGTTTTTCGGGCGGGAGGGGATAATGGCGGACAGGGGTGCCTCGAGTTTTTGGGGGTGGCGGACGAAGGATACGTGGCAGGCTCTTTCGACCTCCCCCAGGGTCCTTCTGCGTGCCCACATGCGTTGTTGGCCATGCGAGGGATCACCAGCAGCCGGCACGGGAAATGGTCCGTGCACGATCGGCGAAGGGGCGGGTTGTTGTGGAAGGCGAGGCGTGTCCATGGTGTACTGCGAGAGCGCGCTATGTACAAAAGGAGAGTCCGAGCATCATTCCGTATCACATTGATTCAATTCCCATGGCTCCAACGGTACCGTCTGTGCACTGAGTCGTCGTCGCGCGCCTGCACATCCGCTTCGCTGCTCCACGCTTCCGCTTCGGGCTCCGCGGGCAGTGCCCCTTCATGTGCATCAAGCACGTGCTCCTTTGTGGTCGCCATCATTGTCGCGGCTCCGCGGCCAGTGCCCCTTCATGCGCATCATCCACGTGCTCCTTCGTCCACGTGCCCGTTGTCGACCTCCACGCGTCCTCCGTCCACGTGCTCCTTCGTCGACGTGCTCCTTCGTCCACATGCTCCTTCTTCCACGTCCTCCCTCGTCCACGTGCTCTTTTTCGGTCGCCATCGTTGTCGCAGCTCCTCGGCCAGTACCCGTTCATGCGCATCATCGACGTGCTCCTTCGTCCACGTGCCCGTAGTTGACCTCCACGAGGCCTTCGTCCACGTGCTCCTTCATCCACGTCCTCCTTCGTTCACGTGCTCCTTATTTTCGAGTTGTGGACGAGATGGCCCCGAGGAGCGCCTCAGGGAAGGGCAGGAAAGATAGCGGAGTAAGGGGGGGGGGGGGGGAACCCAAAAAGGCAGAGGCCACGTGTCAAAGTCAAAAAGGCACCGTGTTGATGAGGCAAGCTCCGAACACACTGACGACTTTCAGGCAGACGAAGTGGTGATGGTGGATGCGCAAGGGACGGCAGGGGCGATGCGATTGGGTTTTGGGCGGGATGGGGTGTCGAGGGAACAATTGTCCGCTCTCAAATAGAGCGTCGTTGTTGGTGTTGTCGGGGCGTTGCCAAGGACCCCGAAGGCAGCAGGGGTTGTCATCACAGAGGCGCGCGTGTCGAGGCCACTTCTGGCGGTGGTAGGCCAGGGTCAGCCATGTCAGCCACTCCCCCTGCAACAGGCGAGGGCTTCAGGGGGAGGGAAAACACTGTCCGCACAAAAGGGCAAGGCGACGGCGAGCAGCAGTTGGACGGCAGCGGCGGATCACACCACTAGAAGCGGACTCGCCGAAGGTGCGGAAGAGGGGAGGGTCGACGACATCCGCCGCGACGATGGGAGAAGAGATGGAAAGCGGGAGGGCGATGATGACGACGACGACCATCCACTTGTTACGAGGTTGAAGGGAGCCGCAAAGGAGGATGGTCTCGAAGAGAGGTCGAAGTTATGGGTTGATTGCGACGCTTTATGGGGTCAGGGCCCGGGGAAACCCTTCAGGGAGGCGGTAGGCGACTGCACGGACTACTTCGTTGCCATCGCTAATGGAGACGCAGGATCTGAACCGCCTTTGATGCTCATAATGCCGCAGAATGATGTGTCGCACTTAAAGATCGAGGACCTTGCGCAGCGTGAACCAGCTCTGCGCAGAGCACGCAGCATGGAGAAACTGGTGCTGCGCACCATCCACGGCTGGATCTTCAAATCGTCGTCGAGGTCGACTGACTTCGCTCGTGCAGAGTCGTACATCACCGTCGACTTTGCTACAGACGTCGCACGAGCGGTTTGGCAGGGATTTGAATGGTCCAAAGTGGTTTCCCCTGCCCTCGTCTACCACACGTTGGCGATGAAGATGGACGTGCCTCTGTGGTTCGCGGGGGTGAAGATTGTGGACCGGCCGGAAGACAACGACATGGCGGCGCGGCAGGAGGCGACAGTTCTTCGCCTGGTGGACTGCTGGACAAATGCAGTCTGGTGCGGACAATGGGCGGACGGCTGGCGCGTGAAACAGGAGAGGTTGTCGTGGCTTGCGGATTGTCTTCGAGCGTTGTTGAGCGCGTGCATGTGGATCATGCGCATGGGTGGTGACAACGACCGTTCGCACTACGAGGCGTGGTTCTACGCGTCCATGGTTGCCAAACCCACAATGATAGCGGCGGGGTCCTACATCTTCAACTAGCGGCGACACATCTTCAACACCGCTAACCTCGTCTTGGATCGTCTAGGGAAGGCCCACCTGACGCTGGGAGATTACCCGCATTGCATTCCGGAATGGTCTGATTGCGGGTTGGTGTTCGGGCACAACGCGGCCCTGAGGAATGCAGCGGAAGCCGCAAAACACATCTGGATCGACAGCGGGCCCGCGGCGCACGACGATGGAGATGAGGGCAGTTGACATGTCGGTTCGTCTGTAAGGCAGCGACGGGGTGCGGATCGTCAACGGATTGGCGCGTGGGATCACGAAACGACGAACTGTGCGTCTTCAACTGCATACGCTAGGGCACGGGCGGGATGGGTGTTGGCGGGTGTTGGTGGTTGAGCGGGGGGAAGGTGAGTTGGCCGATCCTGCGCAACTCCAACGGCGTGTCGACGTCAGGAGATGGCAGGACTGGCAGTGCGAGGTCAAACGGCGTGGCGAAGTCAGCAGATGGCGTCGTAGTAGATGTGTTGTGAACGCTTTATTCCTTTTTTTTTTGTTTTTTTATTGGAGCACACTTTATAGTTGTACTCCACAAAAGGGTTTCTTAGCTCAGTGGATGACACCTCCGAAAAGGATGTAAATGGCAGGAATAGTTCGCCTTTGGTGTGGGCCGCTTGGAGGGTGGATAGATAGGAGAAAAGTCTGAGTGGATTCCCGCCTGAGCATTGTTGTGTTATTGAATGGATTTCCTTAAATTTATGTTTCTGTGTCGACGGCGTGTGTTTGCATGCTTACGATTGCTTACGCAGTACTGCTTTTCTTGTCTTCTATGTGGGTTTATCATGTAATGCATGCGTTAATGGCCATCGCATTCTCATCCACATCTTCTTATGTATGCGGCCCTTCATTCGATCTTAGGAATCACGGCATCATTATCATCGCCTGCACCTTAGAAAACAAAAAAAAACAAAGGAAAAAAGGAAGGAACACATTTTTATTGTCATCTTTTTTATGTTTGCTGCCCATCTTTCCGTTCACAATGCCATCGCTAAATCGTGATGATCGCCGGCACCGGACGAAAGCCCAAAAAAAAAAAAACATCAAAGGAAGGTCACCACGCAACTGTCAAAATAACCAATCTGTCGTGAGTTTTTTTTTTCTTTTTTTTTCACTGCATGTAAGTCGTTAGTGGAACCACGAAGCTTCACCGACTGACTTTAGCAAATGCAGAGAAGTGCAGACGAGATGCATGACAGACGTTCCATGTAGTCGATAAAAAACATGTGTCCTCGAACGAAGGATAGCAGTCGGATGCACGAAGACGTCCTTACACAAACATCATAAAAAACACATATCATTGAACTTCACGGAAAACAACGCTCTAAAGCACATGCGAAACAGCAGGCTGACGAACTGCTTTGTGTCGACCCTCACCACCCGCCCTCCGGCCCCTTTCCCCCCCATCTGATTTCCCATCCCGGATTCCACGGAATTGCGAGGGAACACCATTTCGCCGACCACAACAACAAGGAAGACCGAAAAAACAACTAGACTACCGTTGCGGCGACTACAACAACAATGAAGCCGTGTCACTGCCAATGATCGATGAACTGGACAAGCAGTCTAGTGTCGATTACAGCAACAAACACCTAAAAACAACCCGTCCGCAACGGCAAACCCTCCGAAGTAATTGCTCGCGTAAGTGAAAGACACAAGCGTTGTGAATCGACGACGGCGGAACACGACTTCAACGAAGAAGTCTTCTATGAGAGAAATAGGCAGGTGGTAGGCAGGATCACATGTGTTTCATTCGCTCCGCCAGCGCATTGAGGAGCGTGTGTGTCGTGTGCGTCGACGTCAACATCGTCACTGGCTGCGGGGGATGATGCATTCCCAGGTCCAGTCAGCGCCTCACCCCGTTCTCGTTGACCTCCCACAACAAATTCTCGTCGAACTCGATACCGGCATCGAGCAGGATGTTGTGGAGAATGCATATGGTCGTGAACTGCTGCGGTAGAGTGTCGAGGTTTGTCTTGTGCATCCGCAAGAAGAGCCTCCACATCCCTTTCAACCTCCTGAACGCCCTCTCCACAGCCCCTCTTGCGATATTCTGCTTCGTGTCGAACTTTTCCTCGTCTGGGTGCTGATTGATTCCTTCGTATGGCACCACTACCCATTMAGAAGGAGGATACCCGTTGTCGCCCAAGATGTATCCGTTCGTCCTCCCCCCTCCCGACAGCATAACAGGCGGCCCACAAACCAACATTCCCTCTTCCGCGCACCTCGACAGACTTGACAGTTGGATCACCCTAATGTCGTGGCAGCTCCCCGGATATCCAACGAACACGTCAAGCACCCGCAGATCCAGGTTCACCACCACCTGTGCAATAACGAAGAAACGGTGCTTACGATCGAAGTAGTTCTCGCTCGGCGTTGTTGAGCGCATCAGTCCAGCACCGCATAGGGCAGCACGGGACCTTCCCGGCCGCGTCACGCAGATGTTGGTTTTAATCCTCGTCGCGAATATACATGTGGAGCTTCCGCAAGCCGCTCCGACCGAGTGCGCCAGCCATACCCTACGACAGGATAGGGCCTACGCGAGGCACGACTTACCTCTACCTTTCCCCCAGATGCAACCCACAATCTGCTTTCAGTCAAACAACGAAACTGGAACTGATATTGCGTATACATTCCTTTACTTAACCTGGTTCGTGTCCTGGAAGTCAACTGAAAAGTCAAAGTAGGGATGCACTCAGTATATTAAGTCAAGGCATATTAAGGAATACAGATAAAGGTTATAACTGGGTTTATAGAAGGAAAGAATATGTTACCTCTCAGTTCCTTGCCTCCAGAAATCCTCCTGAGTTCTGACAGAGCTCCCGCAATCGGTGGGTTGACTCCCCACAGAGTCTTGTTGCGGTCCTACGGGTTGCAATCCCGCCTGCTGCCTTCCTCTCAGAACAGGTTTAGACTTAGAGTAAGAAAGGTAGAAAGAGGGTTTTCAGACTCTCGAGGTACAAGTGAGGGATAACTCAACTCATAGGAGACGACCTTGTTGCCTTGATACGCCTGAGGACCCCGCAATGGTGGCCAGAACGCGCAACAACCAGGTCAACTGTAGTTAAACCACCTGTTGTTGACCTCTCTGACGACCCTCCAAAACCGCAGCAATACTCCTCTTTGACGAATCCAGCCTGTTCGCCCCTCATGGCTTGAAATGTGCAAGCGACACATAAGTCTCTTTCCCAGGGCCGGTCTGCTACCCATGGGTTGGCAAGGTGAGGGGCACACCAGCCAATAGGCAGATCTGCAGTGATTTGTATTCCCCACAACCAGTCTACTGCCGCTCTGCTCAACGAGTTGGACACTGCATCGGTCAGCAGGTAAACTTCCAGTCCCGCAGCTAGCCTCCCACTACTTCATGTGGCGGGACGTGCAGCTTGTCAACGAGCAGGCAGGCTCTCAGCCCTGTCGCTCACAACCTCCTGTCTGTTGTTCCATGTGCAGGCAGGTCTTACTCTGTCCCTCTTCTGTTAACCGTGCTTGCACCTTCGAGCCGCCCCCCTTTTCTATCGGACGAAAGTACCTGGCCGTCTATTACGGCCAGGTTCAATCGCTACTCGGTTCAGGAGGGCAATAGAAGATGTTGCAAGCCGCACCTACTATGGCTTTGAAGTTCAACAGCACAACTGCTGTCTCGGAGATGCGCAAACTGAATACATCGATCGTGCCTCATCGCTCTTGCACGCTCCTGCTATCGAAACTGACGATGACGGATAAGGGGGTAAACATACGTTGACACCGAGCCGAAGCTTTGCTCTACCACTTTGCCTCAAGTGCAATTACAAACTCGAACCCTGACCGCGTCCGGTTCTCAGCAGCGGCGTGACAGAGGACCTTCGCCAGTATCCCGAATATGCGGACCTGCCAAGACGAGGCGCGCACCCAATGTCCTTGACGGTCGTGACGGCCACTGAGTCCGGCGTCGCGTCTGGTCAAGGAACACCGGGTTATGACAAAATAATAGACGTATGACGCAAAAAAAATGGTTTATTTAGAAAGTGCCGCTTCCAATCTGATGTTACCGATGACAAAACCAAGGGGGATAGCCCTGTCGGACCCTCAACCCCTCGGTCTATTCACACTACTCTGATATTCCCGCGTCGTCACCGCTCAATCTCGATCCCTGAATCTCTTTGATGAAAGTCGGGCGCTGTAACCGCTAGCGCTAGGCCCAAGGTTGGGTCTAGTGTTGGCGGACACCTATATAAACGAATATAATGTGACGCGCGACTTACCATAACGTTTTAATATCACCCCGTTGTCGATGTCGTTCTTCGTACGTACACACAAGTCACAGGTAGGTGGACCAATTAAGAGACAAAATCTTTTTAATCCTAGTTTAATAAGAAATAATTAGATATGATTGGCGATCACTCCGGTCCTGGAGTTATCAGAAATGAAAATTACGCGCGCCTCTAGCCTGCGCGCCCACACACTCTCTACTTTAGTCAACTGTCTGGTCAACGGAACTTCCCGGACGCAGTCATGCCTCGCGCGGTATAATTAAACTTTAAACCAGACTTATTTCCTGTTTCTTGCAAAAATACCCTTGTAAGGGTATTCGCACTGACAACACATTCGTCGGTTTGTCCACGTAGATGTGTGTGCAGTCAACTGCGCCATGGCAGTTGGGAAAATTCTTGTCCAGAAACGCCCGTAGCACGACGTGTTTCCGCACCCCTGTCGGTCACGATATCTTGTCCGCGTACACCCTCAACATAGCGGTTGTCACATCGCTCACGGCTCGAATCCCAAAAGCCCTGCCTATGTCGAAGGATGATGTGTTGTTGTCGTATGACTCTCTTGTAGCCCACCTATACAGCGCGTACGCGACGATCTGCTCCGGCTGAAGTGGCTCCCTGTAAAACGTCACCTTTCGTTGCAAATGAGACGCACCGGCTTCGGTGATGTCCATGAACACTCTCCTGGACATGCGTAGCTTTTCCTGGACATAGTTGTCTATCGCGTCATCGCACACCCGCAAATCCTCCCAAGTCCCGCCAGCTCTCCGCCTTATCCACCAACGTGGCGTCGCCCGAGGAAGCACACCGCACCCGATTACAGCGCACAGCTGAGCCACGGGCTCCGAAGTGGTAATGCAGTCCGGGGCGTCCAACACCCTCTGCAGCAAAAGCCTCTGCTGCCGCCTCGAAAGCGTTGCCTTCATGCGCCCGCCCGCCCTCTCTACTTGGAATCGACGGACAACGGCAACCGCAGCCGCCGCGACAACTGTCTTCTCCGTCGTCGACAGCACAGCACGGCCATCCCCATCGCAACCCTCCATTACGCCCTTCCAACAAAAAACAACATCTACCGCCACCCAGCTGCGTGTACCTCTGCCACCACGATCGAAGACGACTGCAATCAGGTCAGGAAGACAGTCGTGCTCAACGATGTTCCACCCCGATTGGAGCGTCCGCCCACCGCCGTTGAAGTACGGAACCCCTATCGAGTGCATCGGTCCGGCACCGCACAAGGCAGCGCGGGACCCTCTCGGCCACGTCACGCAGAAGTTAGTCTTAATCCTCGCCGCGAACACATAATGGAGTTTTCGCAAGCCGCTCCGGCCGAGTGCGCCAACCATACCTCTCGCGAGCCCCTACGACAGGATAGGACCTACGCGAGGCACGACTTACCTCCACCTTGCGGGAGTTGCCACCTCCCTTCGGTGGGCGTATCCCCGCCGAGCTACCAGTCCACAATATGAAAGCTAATCTGCTGCAATCGCAGAGGTGGACCAGTCGAGGGCGTTTCTCGTTCGCTGTAGCATAGGGGGTATGTGCGGTGGCATGCCTCTATCGGACTCGCATGCGAACCGGCATCTTGGGGGGGTGAGGTCCCAAGCGTGACCCGTTGTCAGTCGATTATGATGCATCCCACATGCCACGTGCACACCACTATAAAGAACATAAAAATAAACACCCACACCCACACACGTACATATACAACTACAGAACGACACAGAACAAACAACGTGACAACGCTCATAGTCCTTTAGTAGCTATACCATAACTTTCCGACGCGGGGATCGGATAGGCGTCACACGCGAGACTTAGTAGTATAAAATTGCGGGGACGAAGCGTTAACTCATACCGACTAGCAATGCATGAATGCGCAAGCAATCACGATGATGACATACTATGTAGTGCCCATAATCAAGCGGTCCCTCGTGGATCCGAGTATCGCTTATGACACTCAAGTGTCAGATTCGAAGTATCGAGAAGGCTTGCCCCTTCACAATATTGCACGGCTAAAGAAATAGTCGTGCGGTCGTTGCGGCACCTCTGGCTTTTAGGCTGAGTGTCTCGGCAGGCAGGGCAAATAGGCTCTGCGCGAGGGGAGATCCTTTCCATGCAAAGTCTAGGGTCTGGGATGTCCTGGACAAGGACCTTGAATCCGGGTCCAGGACCAACGTCCGACTAAGAAATCCTTTAAGAAGCATTTAACAATAAAGCGGGGTTTTCTTTCTATTATCAATCTCAACCCCTATTCATTCTTTACTCGTGGGTCCTCTAAGGTCACGCGAACACCCAACATAAGTACATACGTATGTATATGTAAAGGAGAATAAGTATGTGATGATCACTTCTCACAATCACAGTGGGACTCCTCCTAGCCATATATATGTGTGTGATCGCAGACGGTCAGATCCAAAATCCGAACCACAGAACATACTTGCAATCACATCAAAGAGTCAACCAAAAGTCCACGCACTACACGGATTCAACTTCAACCAACCTCTATACTTACACCCCTTGCTTTAGCCATGCAAGCCTCAACCTTTGTCCAACCAACCATAATTAAATACTCAGTACCTTTGTTAAATGGCCATTCAATAAAAGTACGGGTGAAAACCTTAATAAAACACCAAAGATCAACAGGGCTAAAGCCTTTTAGGTTGAGTATTGAGGATGAATTGGAGTTGAGTCGTAGACCGGCGAATCGACAACCAACCTGTTATCAGTGACAACAGAAGGTGATCCTTGTAAGATCAAGATGAATCTAATCCTGATTTCGAATCAAACGTTCAAGAGGACCTATAACAAAAGACAGACCAATCTTAAACTAAATCTATGAGTCCAAATCGAAAGTAATCTCCATATCACAATTTCACGATGAATCATTTTACTTAACTAATCATGAGTCTGCCCTTAAGTTAGTGCCTAAAGAAAAGGCGGATCTTTGACAGAATCTCCTTTACATAAAGTGGATTGCCAGAGTCGCCACCTGTCAAAATATAATTTAACTCCTCTAAATTAAGAAAATTTCAGCAGCGCTTCCCATAGGAAAAGTGTCTTCGCAGAATTTATACTAACTCAAATATGGAAAAAAAAAAAAAACAATCTTTAATTCTGATAAGTCAAATTTTGTCTAACTCCCCGAATTAGTAAAAATTTGGGCAACACTTCTTTTAGAAAGGTAGGTTTTCCAGATTTATACTAAGTCAGATATGAACTCAACCACAAAACCTGAGTTTAACTTAGACAAAATTTAACTAATTCCTTAGATTTTTAGAAATTTCGGCAGCGCTTCCAGTAGAGAAAGTGTTATTCCAAGACTTATACAAAGCTAAGTTCATAATCTAAAAAAAAACTTTGACTTCTCAAAGTCCAATTTTATCTAACTCCCCGAATTAGCAAAAATTTGGGCAGCACTCCCTTTAGAAAATGAGGTTTTTCAGATTTTTACTAAACCAAAAGGTCAGAAAAACCGAACATGAAAAAAACAAAATTTGACTAACTCCTTGGTTTTGTAGAAATTTCGGCAGCACTTCCGTAGAGAAAGTGACTTACCAAGATTAATACAAGACCAAGTATAACAAAAGATCCCAGAAAATGCAGAAATTGACCTAAGTAAAATAAACTTAGCTAAAAAAATGCAGGGATTGAAACTAACTCCTATGACTCTAACACGTGACGAACAACTAGAGCAACTACCTATCAAACTGAAACTCGGATTAAGTAGTATCCTCACTCAGTCTCATGCAGGTCAAATCACAAAGATAAGTACTCTCACCATCCCTAAAGTCAAATTTATCAAACAATAGTTCATAGTCTCTTAATGATTTATCCCTTTATACCCAACTTACATAGAGCATAAAGCTAGACCACCCAAACAGGGCACAACAACTTTTCTCTTCTTTTAGCATATGGAACATGTCTAGCTCAGCCATGGAGTATACACCAACACGACACAACAATTTTTCTCTTCTTTTAGCATATGACTAGGTCACCCTAGTCGCCCTGAACTGTTTAAATAACCCAACTTTATATAATTGTCTGCACTTAGTCTTTTGAAATAGCATATAACTGAACCGATTATCTTTAGCTGAAGATTCAGTCTGCCCCTTCGTACCACAAGTTTATTCTTCTTAATTAGTACTCTCTTAAGTTGGTGTTAAGCTATAGTCAGACCACCCAAACTTATGGAACCATGTCTGACTAGCCTGTTTATAGATAAAATAATAATAAAGTATAGTCAAATTATAACTTTCTGGTTCCAGCATGTGCGTGGCGTTAGACCAAGACCACCCAAACTTATGGAACATGTCTTGGTCCTCAGCCTGGAACATGCTCAGACCCCCTCGTTCAGAAACCAAAGAAACTAAAAAAAAATCAAAGTAAACAAGGCGATCAAGTCACCCAAACTTATGGAACATACCTGGTCTCTGAAAAGTCATTCACAGTCAGCCCTCACAAGTTAGAGCAACCAAACCACCCAAACTTATAGAACATGTCTGGTTCTCCAGGCAATTCAAAACAAACATAGCACTGAGACTTCCCAAACTTATAGAGACTTGCCCAACCTTTGATAGACCTAGTCAAACTCAAGCAATACTTCCTTGCACCCATCCTTCCCCTATATGCAATTCCACAATCCGCTTTCAGTCAAACAATAAAACTGAAACTGACATTGCACATACGTTCCTTTACTTAGTCTGGTTTGTGTCATGAAAGTCAAACTAAAAAGTCAAAGTAGGGAAACAATGGTTATCTTTCAATTCCCTACCTCCAGAACTCCTCCTGAGTTCCAGCAGAGCTCCCGCAATCGGTGGGCTGGCTCCCCACAGAGTCTTGTTGCGGTCCTACGGGTTGCAATCCCCCATGCCGCCTTCCTCTAAGAACTGGACTAGAATTAGAGTAAGAAGAATAGAAGGAGGGGCTTGAGACTCTCGAGATACAGGAGGGGGGCAAACTCAACTCCCAGGAGAGGGCCGTGTTATCTTAATGCGCATGAGGGCCCCGCGATGGCAGCCAAAATATGTAGCAACTTGGTTAACTCTAAAGTCAAACTGCAGAAGTCAACCCTCTGACAACTTCCTTGCAACACTCATTCGCAGCAAAGACCTCCCTTCACTTAGCTCATTCCCCCACCGAATTCTCGATTCAAGGCATACGGGCCACATACAATCTTACTACCTTGCGATTCCTCTTCAACAGACTTAGCCCCTCTGCAGCTGTGCCCTTGCCTGCCTGCTACTGTACACCTTCGCGGTTAGCCTGCCACTGCACAGTCTGATGGGATGAGTAACACAGCGATCAACGACCGGACTTGCAGCCCCGACAGTTGGTTTATGAATGCAGTGATATTTTGAAAATCATCAACAACAACCAGTCGCTGACAACGTCGTCCCTGCAGAGTTAGCGACACCTTACTGTGCTACAACAGAAAAGTTCCCATGAGAAATGAAAGTTGAAAAAATATTCTATAAAAAAAAAATCCTCTTGATTTATAAATTATCATTCCAATGTTCGTCCAATTCTAAAATTTTTAATTTGATTTGATACGTTCCCGTCTAAATATGAGTTTTCCCTTTCAACTACATTTATTTGTTCAAAATGGAAAGAAAGTTTGTATGAGTTTATGAAATGTTTTAATGAAATTTTCATTTTACTACAACAAATATCTTCTAATTTAGATTGAATTAACCTATTTATAACTAAAAATCCTTACTTAGAATGACAGTCTAATTAAAATATTTCATTAACTCATCCAGACTTTCATTTCATCTTTAGCATGCATTCCAAATAAGAAGGGATACCCTATTCTTGGAATGAAAGTTTAAAAGTAAGATGAAAAATTTTAAAATTGGAATGACATTTTTTAAGATCGAATAAAAATTTAAAATTAAGATTGTAATTTTACTATAGAATGATTATTTAATTCTGGGAATTTTTTTCGTTGGCTAGCAGACTTGGCCCCAATGTTAACCATAGGCCCCGTATTGTGTCAGCGCACAGTTTGGCTCAGCAGTTCGACCTTTAGTTCATCCCACATTACCTGCTCTTGTCTCGTAGGCTAATCCTTGTCGATATGATACGAGTATACCCTACAATCCAACCCAACCCACTGCTTCTGCTCAAACAGTTAGTTGTGATCAGCCGCAAACAACTCTCCCGCTCTTATCGGTTGCTAATGCCCTGCTCCTTCTCTCCTCGTTCGTCTCACTATCCCACCCTAGTCTACACACTGGCTCAAAAAGGTCGACCGAAAAGGATCACGACACCAACAGAAATGCCCTGTGTAGAC